TTATTTGTCAGAGCTGACAAATAAAGGGCATCTCTCTATAGTGGAGAGAGGCAAAGCAGGCTTGGGTTCTGGGGTTTTTAGAGGGCAGGCTCAGGAATCAGAGCTGGGTAGGTCCTAATGCCTTCGATTAAGGTTGGCTTGGTATAAGGGAGTGGTGAGCCTTTCTCAGAAAGGCCCTTGGGTGGAAAAGTGAAACTTTTTCCTGAAAATGGTGGCTGTCACTTAGAATGGCCATCCAAATACTAAGCAAGGACCTTATAACCAAATGGGCATGCTTGTAATCCCTCAACTCAGGAAACTGAGGCAGGAGGATGGCAAATTCGAGGCCAGCCTCAGCAATTTAGTGAGAACCTAAAATAAAAGGCTTAGGAATGTGGCTCAATGGTTAAGTGCCCCTGAGTTTAATCCCCAGTTAAATATATGTATATGTATGTATAGGTATATATATGTGTATACATATATTTATTTTATTTTTTAAAGAATGGCAAAATGGATTTTGTGCTTGTTAGTTTTGCATGTCAACTTTATTGGATTAAGGATACGTAAAGTAAAGAGATTTCTTTTCCCTTTTTATTTTTCCCCTCAGTACTGGGGATTGAACCCAGGACTGTTGCTGAAAGCTTGGTCCTTGTCCCCAATGCCAATCCAATAATGAGGACAAGGTTTTACGAAAAAGGAAAAAGAAGGGTTATTGCATTGCTAGCAAAGGAGAAACACAGGGGACTCCTGTCCAAAAGGCTGTGATTCTGCCCATCAGCAAGAACAGGGGGCTTTTAAAGAGAAGACTCAAAGGCTACATTTCATGTGTTCTCTGTGGAAGTTGTAATTTGCATGTTAATTTGGGAGATAGTAATTTCTGAGATCTTCTGGTACCATCTCCAAAGTCTGGATTGCTTCTTCCTTTTTTTAAAGAAATATTTTTATTAGTTATTTATGGAGCCTTATTTATTTATATTTGGTGCTGAGAATCGAACCCAGTGCCTTGCACATGCTAGGCAAGCGCTCTACCACAAAGCCACAGCCCCAGCCCTGGGTTGCTTCTTCCTATGGTAGGTATGTACTCAAGGACAGAGAAGTCTGCCTAGGATGAGGAAGAAAGGTAATCCTGTTTTCCCTGAGATTAGGGAAAGGGAGGGATTAGAGAAGAACAGAGAGAGAGGAAGAAAAAAAACATGTCCATTTTAAAAATAAGTTGCAGTGGCAGAGCAGCGAGAGTTATATTCAAAACATAAAGTGGACCACTGTTAAAGGACAATTTACCACTGAGCTACATCCCCAGACCTTTTATTAATTTTATTTTTTATTTATTTATTAATTTTGGTACCAGGGATTGAATTCAGGGGCACTTGGCCACTGAGCCACATCCCCAGCCCTATTTTTTTTTTTTTTTTGAGAGAGAGAATTTTAATATTTATTTTTTAGTTTTCGGCGGACACAACATCTTTGTTCTTTGTTTGTATGTGGGGCTGAGGATCAAACCCGGGCCGTATGCATGCCAGGCGAGCATGCTACTGCTTGAGCCACATCCCCAGCCCCGTAGCTTGTATATTATTTAGAGAAAGAGTCTCATTGAATTGTTTAGCACCTTGCTGTTGCTGAGGCTGGCTTTGAACTTTCAATCCGCCTGTCTCAGCCTCTCTAGCAGTTGGGATTACAAGCATGCACAGCAGCATCTGGCTCCTTTTTATTCTTTTGAGATAAAGTCTCAACAAGTTGCTGGGTGCAGTGGCGTACATCTGTAATCCCAGAAGCTCAGGAAACTGAGGCAGGAGGATCACAAGTTCAAAGCCAGCCTCAGCAACAGTGAGGTGCTAAGCAACTCAGTGAGACCTTGTGTTTCAGTGACCAAGTGCCCCGGAGTTCAGTCCCTAGTACCCTCTTCCCAGCCAAAAAAAAAAAAAAGTCTCAACAAGTTGCTGAGGACCTCACTGAGTTGCTGAGTCTGGCCTCAAACTTGTGATCCTCCTGCCTCAAATTCCTGAATTGCTGGAATTACAGGCATGTGTTATTGTGCCTGGTTTAGGCTCTCTGGCCTTTGGATTTACACCAGTGGTCCCAGGTTCTTAGGCTTCTGGCCTTGGACTGAGAGTTACGCCATTAGCTTACCTGGTTCTGAGGCCTCCAACTTGGCTTGAGCCATGCTGCCTGTGTCCAGCTTGCAGATAGAGGGTCTATCATGGGACTTCTCAGCAGCCATAACTGCACAGCCAATTCCCCTAATAAGCCCTTCTCACATATCTATGTAAATATCATATTGGGTCTGTCTCTCCTTCATACAGTTTCTTCCTGTTTTCTTTAAATGTTGCATTTTGGTCCCTGGCAGATCATCTTGGAATTCCTGTCCCTTCTGCCCCAGAGGTGGCAGTGGCAGTTCCAATCTCTTGCTCTCATAGCCTTAAGACAAATGCAGAATCCTCCGCATGGCCATCAGATCCCCTATAACCTGATTCTTGAGCCCCCACAGAGATTTTAAATAGCAAAACACCAAGGAATATTACAAATAATTATATATTAGTAAATATAAAAGCTTAAGCAAAGTTAATGTTTATAGAAAAATGAGAAATGCCCAAATGGGCATAATATAACAAACTTTCATAGAACCATAATCAGTAAAGAAAATCATATGTGGGCTGGGGATGTGGCTCAAGTGGTAGCGCACTTGCCTGGCATGTGTGCAGCCCGGGGTCAATCCTCAGCACCACATACAAACAAAAATGTTGTGTCCGCCGAAAACTAAAAAATAAATATTAAAATAAAAAGAAAAAAGAAAATCATATGTAAGACTCCAGTGTACAGGAGCCCCAACAGACACTCTTAGAGGGACTTCCACCAGAAGAACATAGGACAGATGACCTTTATCTTATGTCAGTTTTTCCAAAAGCCAGGGAATGAGAGAAGGCTGCCCAATTTCTCATTTGACTCCTGATCCAGAAAAGGAAAGGAAAATAGAGCTTTGGGTTGTAGACACAATGTTAAACTATAAACTGGTAGAACAAAATATAGGAGATTGCCGCACCTAGGGGTGGAAAAAGGACTTGTCGAGACTCCACAAGACTGGGGTATAGCTCAGAGGCAGAGGATTTGCCTAGCCAGCACTGCAAAAATGAAAAAGAAAAAAGAAAAAAAGGAAAACTCCACCAATACAAACCCTATCCAAAAAACGTTTGGATCTGATTTCATCAATATTTTTAAGAATTTCTGGGGGCTGGGGTTGTGGCTCAGCGGTGGAGTGCTTGTCTAGCACGTGCGAGGCCCTGGGTTGGATCTTTAGTACCTTATAAAAATAAATAAAAGTATTGTGTCCAACTACAACTAAAAAATAAATATTAGAAAAAAAAGAATTTCTGTTCCACAAAGACCCTCAGAGACAAGTGGACAAATGATTATGATCCAGTGCATATAGAACTGCAAGTCAATCAGTAAAAGACAAAAACACAATAGAAGTGTTGCGGGTGGGACTCAGTGGTAGAGCATGTGTTTAGCACGTGCCAGGCCGGCCCTGGGTTCCATCCCCAGCACTGCAGAAAACAAAGCAAAAATCTGTGGTAAAGCACCGCTGGGTTTAATTCCTAGTACCAATACGTTTTTTTTTGTGTGTGTGCGTGCGCGCACTTGTGAGTGAGTATGTGTATGAGTATAAATAAGGCAAGATACCATTTTATACTCACAGGGTTAGGAAAAATTCACAAGATGTATTTTACTAACATTTGCAAGAATGTAGGCAGAAAGCTGTGGTCACTTCTGCAGGGCATGTACAATGGTATAGCCTTTCTCTGGAGCAATCTAAAATTTGTCTTGTGTTTATGCCAAGTCCTCACACTCTTGATCCTTGATAAATAAGTCAGGGAAGTTCTCTAGCTGGTATCCAGAGAGGCGTGTACAAGGTCCTTTCACCACAGTGTCCTTTGTGGAAACAAGAGTTGGGAGCAACCTTGGCACTTCCCAGCAGGAGAGTGGACTAAGTGACGTGTGATGGAGGAAAACTACAGAAATCTGCAGTAGTGAGAACCAACACAGGAAGATTTTAAACACAGTAATATTGAAGAAACAGAGTAAGGAACAAAAATGAGATCTGTACCATTTATACAAACTAAGAACACATAATACCATTTATATAAGCTAAAAACATGAGAGCCACGAACAGCGTCAGGAGGCAGGCACCAACGTGAAGCGTGGGTACGACCAGGGCTTCAATCACTGATTTGCTGGAAAGTTCCTCAAGGGACCCATGCATCGACCTCTTTAATCACTACCAGCAGTGTGTTCAGAAAGCAATAAAAGAGAAAGAGGTTCCTGGCAAAGAAAAGCCTGAAAACTCTTTTTGATATTATCAGTCATCTTTTTTTCTTAATTTTTTTTTTTTAGTTGCCAATAGATTTTTCACTTTATTTGTTGACTCATTTGTGGTGCTGAGGATGAAACCCAGGGCCTCACACATGCTAGGCAAGTGCTCCACCTCTGAGCCACAGCCCCAGTCCCTTAACTGTCATCTTGAAAATAGATTCCTATATCAGAAAATTGAGGACTCTGGATTTTGTCAACTAAGACTATGAAGATAGCTGTGGAATTCAATGAATTTAGGAGGCAGATGTTTTATTTCTTCTCTATTGATGTTTTCCTTTCACTTGTAAAAGATGATGAACCACCACTCTGCTTTGAGATGATTTCTCACTTGTTCTGGCATCTTCCAGAACTCAGTGGGCTAAAACTGAATAGTTTCTTGGGATTATGGTTGCAATACATGGTCTGGATTCAGCTTTAAATATATCTTGGGGGCTGGGGATGTGGCTCAAGCGGTAGCGCACTCGCCTGGCATGCGTGCGGCCCGGGTTCGATCCCCAGCACCACATACAAACAAAGATGTTGTGTCCGCCGAAAACTAAAAAATAAATATTAAAAAATTCTCTCTCTCTCTCTCTCTCTCTAAAAAATAAAAATAAATAAATAAATATATCTTGTATATAAATTATTGATAAACTAGTCAAGATGATCAGGGTTGCCTGACTTCTTGGTTTTGCTGCAGAGGACATTAAGTACATTGTACTGGGGTCATTGTTCACGAAAGCAATTGGTTAGGACCTCTTTCTTCTCTCAGGGAGCTAATGCTTTAAAAAGGAATCCAGGCACAACAGTTTCATCCAGTTTATTTTTATATAGTAACTAACAGTTAAAGATTGCTGGTGGCCTGGGTTAGCAAAGAGGAAGATATTTTTTATCAGACAGTTCCCTGCCTTAATAAGAGGTGTTCAATTAAGACATGAAAGCTTCAAGATGTTAAAATGAACACCATTTCAGAGCTCACAGCATAGTTCTGGAATTACATTACTTGGAGTTGCTATGGCAAAAGAACCCAAACTACAAAAATTTGTTATTGCCAGTTATCCACCCAAGTTAATGAATTAAGTCATGCTGCATATCATAAAAACATCAAAATGGTGAATCTGGTTAAATAGAGGGGAAAAGTGCTTGCTTCATTTGCCTTGTTTGCCCACCCTGCCCTGTAACGTCTATAATCATAATGATGGAATAAATTTTAACATTTAGTTTTTATAAAAAAAAAAAATGAATACACAAAAAATGACATTAGATACTTCAAAGGACCCATTCATCTGTAACTGGGATGGGAATGGGGATAAAAGATACAGAAGAAAAATACTAAACCAAAACAAGAAGGTGGCCTTGCATCCACTGATGCTTGTCATACCATGTGAGACAAGAAAGATAATGAACTCTGCTCTCTGCTCCTGAGGACTAAAAGAAAAGGAGATGTGTGCAAAGGACATGAACAGGCAACTCGTACAGAAAGCACCAATGGCCTATCGAGAAGAAATACCTGAGTCTCGTAAACAATGCAGGGAATACGCATTATAGCAACAAGAAAAATATTTTTCATGTATTTTCAGGAATTTGAAAGATTATAATAGAAAGATTCAGATACTTTGCTGGCTGATGGAAATCTACGTTGATTTAAGTATTGAAGGCAGTAATTAGCACTGTCAAAATGTAAACTGCTTAAGGCACTTATCTTGCAGAAATACTCAGGTGTGCAAAGGCACATTCGCAAGGACATCCCCAGCTGCCCTCTCTAGGAGGGAAGCAAGTGGGGGCTATGCCCAAGTTTGACAAGAGAAGATGGGTCAAGTACATTATGCTGCTTGTAGTATGAAACACCATGAAGATGGTGACAGCTGGGGTGGCTTGTGTGTACTGATAGGGAAAGAAGAACAACTACTTCCCCACACCTTCAGCCAGGACGTTCTGCTGCCTCCATGTCTGTCAGTCAGTAGTCATAATCACCCACATTTACCTAGTGCGTCACCTTTGTGATTTCATTTAGTCCCCAAAACGCACATATGACCTGGGCTCATCACCCAGTTTTGTAGGGTGAAGAAGTGGTCACAGCCCCGATGGTTCCCTGGACCCTGCTGAACTCTCCCCGTGGAAAGAAGTAGGCCTCACATACATACTGACCCCACCTGGCTGTGCTTTTTGACAAAGCCCTTGAAACTGACCAAGAACTGGTTGCCATAGAGATGGCCATAGAGATGGCCTGGAGGACAGTTCCAGGGCTGGCGGGTGGGAGTGGGGAATGAAGCCGGACACCAACATGCTAAACACCCATCAACAGTTGGTCAGGGCCAACTCTGAAAGACCAGCTCAGGACCTGGGCCCTCAGACTCCAGAGACAGCCACAGGCCTACTCCAGCTTCTGTCCGGCTTTTCCCCGGCAGAGCAGGTGAGGGAAGCGGGCCCAGTGCGGGAGACTGCCAGCAGCCTAGAGCAGGCCAGGGCCGGGGGAGGCTCTGAGAACCCAAGAGCCTGGAGCTGAGGTCTGGGTGACCTCTGGGACAGGGACTGTGGGGAAGCCTAAAGGATATGAGGTGAGGATGAAGAATGAGGGAGCAATTTAGGGATCACTGCTGGGGGAGCAGGTTTTGGAAAAGAAAATTAATTCCTTCCATCTTGGCTGTAGAAAGTCCAAGGCCCTGTGGAACATTCAGAAGAACTGTTCTTCATTATTTGTTTTAATTCTTTATTTTTTTTCTTGGTTAATTGATTCTCTTTTAAATATTATTATTATTACTTTTTTTGGTACCGGGGATTGAGCCCAGGGGTGCTTAACCACTGAGCCACATCCCCGCCCTTTTAATATTTTATGTAAAGACAGGATCTCATTAAGTTGCTTAGAACCTCCTAAAGTTGCTGAGGCTGGCTTTTTTTGTGTGAGGAGGGGAGGGGTACTGAGATTTCTTTCCCCCTTTTTTGTGTGTGTGTGTGTGTGTCAGGGATTGAACCCAGGGCCTTATGTCTATTGCCAGGCAAGCACTCTACCAACTGAGCTATACCCCACCCTTTTTTTTTTTTTTTTTTTTATACTGGGGATTGAACTCAAGGGCATTTGACCACTGAGCCCCATTCCCAGACCTATTTTGTATTTTATTTAGAGACAGGGGCTCACTGAGATGCTTAGCGCCTCGCTTTTTGCTGAGGCTGGCTTTGAACTTGAGCTACTCCTGCCTCATCCTCCCGATCTGCTGGGATTACAGGCGTGTGCCACTGCACCCAGCTTAAAAATTTATTTATTTATTTTTAAATTTTCAAAATTTTAACTGACACATAATAATTGCACATATTTATGGGGAACAATATGAAACTGGATAGATGTAGACATTATGTAATGAGCAAATCAGGGTAATCAGCCTTTCTATCTCCTTAAACATTTATCATCTCTTTGTTGGGAATCTTCAAACTCCTTCTTGGCAGCAGAGGGTGACAAACAAATCTGGATTCTGGCAATAGACTCCACGTGTGCTGGTCCTCCCTCTACAAATTACAAAGGCTGTGTGACCTCAGCTCTTAGACCTCTCTGAGCTTCTCTGATCCTGTTTTTGCATATGCATGATGGGGTGATAGCCCTTGGGAAGGTTGACTGTGTTGTTGCCTCCAAGTACTGAGCACAGGAAATCTGCTTATTCAGGCTGTAGTTTTAATACGGAGAATGGTGGTGGGTGGGGATCAGTGTGAGAGGTAATGAGGGCCAGCCAGTGTTCACAGGAGGCCCTTGGGAGGCGCAGAGTGGTCCAACAGGCTGCTCAGAGCTGGCCCCCTCTCTGGTCCTTGCCCAGGGGAGCCTGGGGAATGATGATGATGTGCCCAGGCAAGGCCGGCCACAGAGGTCTCAGAGCGCAGGGCAGAGGTCAAAGAAGGACTGCGGAACCCAGGGGCGGAACAAGAAAGGACAAGCCTCCGCTGAGGCTGAGGAGTAAGCAGTTGGGCATGGGGTGGGAGGGATGCAGGGGGCCAGGAGGATCCTGATGCTGACCCCTGTCCTCTCCCTCTTCAGTCTCTTCCCGGCTCCTCTCCGGAAACCCTCCTTCCCCTTCCAGTGGGCCTGGGAGAACTTCATCATGGATGGTCAGGCTCTGCTTCAGACAAGTTCCCCTGAGGCCCCTGGCCACCAAGTCCTGCCCTCGCCCCTAGCAATCCTCCAGCACAAGTCCAGGCGCAAATCCATGCTCAACTTCCCAGAATCCCTTGATTTCTGCCAAAAGACGGAGATGCAAAATCTGGAACAGAGACAGCAGCTGGGGGCCTGGGGTGGCATCCTCCTCCCTCCCAGCAAAGGGGAGAACCAAGGGCTGGAGCTATCTAGCAAGTGTGGCTTCTGGCTGCCTGGGAAGAGGTCAGGATCAGAAACAGAGTCCGAGGAGGCTGCAGAGCGGGAGGGCCTAGGTGTGGAGGAGGTGGAGAGGGGTCTGAGCCCTGGGGAACTGCTCCAGATCCCCAGGAGGGGCTTGATCTTGGAGGAGGAGCGGTTCTCAGAGGCAACCGAGGAGGCTGAGCAGTGGGATCACAGCGCCCCCCACAGGAGGAAGGGCAGCTCTCAGAAAAAAGGTCAGAATTCTGGAAAGGAGGCTTTGGAAGAAGGGGAGCTGCGGGGCCAGAGCCAGGGAAGCAGCTCCAGCTTCAACAGCTTCAGAGGGTCACAGAGGGGGATGTCAAAGGCCAAAGAGGTGCAGGGGCCCTGGGACCTAGAGAAGCTGCACGGGCAGTTACAGCAAGAATTGAACTGTGGTGAGTGCGCCTGCCAGGCCTGGGTTCCCTGGAAGCCGCCCTGGGGGGAAGGGGCAGAGTTCAGACCGGGCTGTGCTGTGCTCTGGGGGATGGCGGGGGGACTGCCCAGTGGGCCAGGAGCCGGGGTTTCCCTGACTTGGTTCCACTGCTAATAGGCCCCCAAAAGCAGTCCTGGAAGGCCTTCCGGGCTGCCTCCATCCGGAGTGAGAAAGCCCATGACTTGGGAGAAAAGGAAAAGTTCCTGTTTGCCAGCTTCCCTAATCGCACCTTCCACAAACGACATGAGGCCACCAGGTAAGGGGGAGAGCCCAGAGGGTGGGAACCAAGGCAAGGGTTGGGGAAGGGGCCAGTTCTCCAGCAGGCCGTCACTGCACGCTCATCCATTCCTTCGTCCATTCATGGTTCCGTCTTCCTGCCCCACCAGTCATCCTACATCCACCCATCCACCCATTCATCCATTTTTTTCCTTTCTCCCTTTTTTTTCGGTGACACCAGGGATTGAATCCAGGGCCTTGTGCCTGCTAGGCAAACACTCTGCCACTAAGCACACCTCAGTCCCCATCCATCTTTATTTTTGGTACCTAGGATTGTTGAACTCGGGCACTCATCCACTGAGTATTTTATTTAGAGACAAGGTGTCACAGAGTTGCATAGCTCCTCACCGTTCCTGAGGCTGGCTTTGAACTCTTGATCCTCCTGCTTCAGCCTCCGAGTCGCTGACTATATCTCCTGATAGCATCTATTCCCAGCTTTCATTCACCAGATTGTGTCTTCCAACTGCCTATTGATACAACCCATTTCCACTCATTTCCCATCTTTCCTTGTATCCATTCATTAACCTATTAGCTAACTGATTAATGTAACATAGGTCGAGTGTCTGCTCATGAATCCTCGGGATATAAAGATAAAAATACTTGGCTCAATCCTGAGAAGCTCAAGGTCTGGGAAAGGAGAGAGATGGGCAAGTACAACAGTTCAGGCAGATGGTTCTACACTTGGGCTTGAACAAGAGGCCATGGGAACAGAGGGGAGAAACTGGAGGCTATGAGAGGGCTGTTGGCAGTGACTAGGTAAGAGTTGATTACCTGAACCAGGCGGCTAGGTGGATGGAGAAAAGGGGATGCGCTTAAGAGATATTTAAAGACTACCTCAATGGGCTTGGTGACTGGTCAGAAGTGGCATGAGAAGTCAGGGAAAATTCATTCAGCATTTTTTTTTCATAATGACTTTTATTTATTTATTTTTCTATGTAATGCTGAGAATCAAACCCAGTGCCTCCCACATGCTAGGCAAACGCTCTACCACTGAGCCACAACCCCAGCCCTCATTCAGCATTTTTTATTATAACACTCTCAATCCTTTTTTTTAATGTACTCAGTTGACAATTTAACATTGTATATATGTTTTTGAATTAGGTATACACTGTGGCATGGCTAAATCAAGCTGATCCCCTATGCATTATCTCACTATTTTTTTAAACACTTAAAATTTACTCTTTTTAGTGATTTTCAAGCATACAATCACATTGTAGATCTCTTGGACTTATTTCCCCTAACTAAAATTTTATACCCTTTGCCAACACCTCCCCAGTCCTCCCCTGCTCTGAGACACTGGTAATCACTATCTTACTCTAGGAGAACAGTTTTTGGTTTGTTTTGTTTTAGATTCCACCTGCATGAGATCATGCAGTATTTGTTTTTCTAAACCTGGCTTCTTTCATTTAAAATAATGTCTTCCAGGTTCCACCACGTTATTCCAAATAAAGTTTCCACCGTTTTTATAAGCTGAATAGAATTCCATTATGTGTATATACCACCTTTTCTTTATCATTCATCCATTGATGGACACTTAGGTTGATTCTATATCTTGGCTATAGTGCATAATGTTTCAGTAAACTTGGGAATGCAAATGTCTTGTCAAAATACTGATTTTGGAGCCAGGCACGCCTGTAATTCCAGAGGCTTGAGAGGCTGAGGCAGGAGGATCATGAGTTCAAAGCCAGCTTCAGCAATGAAGAGGCACTAAGCAACTCTATGAGACTGTCTCTAAATAAAAAACAAAATAGGGCTGGGGATGTGGCTCAGTGGTAGAGTGCTTGCCTTGTGTGAGGCATTGGATTGGATTTTCAGCACCACCCATAAATAAATAAAAGTTCACTGACAGCTAGGAAAAAATATTTTAAAAATACTGATTTTGTTTCCTTTTTTGGAGGGGTGTGCTTAACCATTGAGTCACATTCCCAACCCATTTTTGTTTTTTATTTTGAGACAGGTTTTCACTGAGTTGCTTAGGGCCCTCCTAAATTACTGAGACTGACTTTGAACTTGCAATCCTCCTGCCTCAGCATATTGATATGCTTGGATTACAGGCCCAGCTAGTTCCTTTTTTGTTTGTTTGTTTGTTTGTTTGTTTTGGTACCAGGGACTGAACCCAGGGGCACTTAAACACTGAGCCACATTCACAGCCCTTTGTGGTATTTTATTTAGAGACAGGGTCTCATTGATTTGCTTAGGGCCTCACTAAATTGCTGAGGCTGGCTTTACCTTAGCCTCCTGCACAGCTGATATCACAGGCTTGCTCCACCACGTCCAGATTCATTGTGATTTTTAATCCACATTTATCTAATAGTGATATTGAACATTTTTTTTTCTTTCTTTCTTTTTGGGTAGGGAGGGTACTGGGAATTGAACCCAGGGGTGCTCCACCATGGAGCAACATCCTCAGTCCTTTTCAATTTTTTATTTTGAGACAAGATTTCACTAAGTTTCTGAGGCTGACCTTGAACTTTCGATACTCTTGCTTCAGCCTCCTGAGTAACACTGCTGCTCCTGGCTGAACAGTTTTTCATATACCTGTTGGCCATTTGTTTGTATTCTTTTGGGAAATGTCTATTCAGGTCCTTTGCTCGTTATTTAATTGGGTTGCTTTCTTGCTATTGACTTCCTCGTATATTTTGGATATTAACCTCTTACCAGATGTAAATTGTGTTGGTTTTTCACTGCTGTGACCAAAATACCTGACACCAACAATGTAAAGGAAGGAAGATTTATTCTGGCTCATGATTTCAGAGGCTTCAGTCCATGGTTGGCCAGCTGTTAGGCAGGAACATCAAGGTGGAAGGGTGTGGTGGAGGAAAGCTGTCAGTTCATGGCAGCCAGGAAGGGAGGGGGTAGGCAGTTTAAGAGACAGAAGGCGGGAGGAAGAAGGGGCTGGGAATAGAAAGAGTCTTCAAGGCCATGCCCTCACTCACCTACTTCCACCTACCTTCTACTGCCTGGAGTTAGCACCCAGTGGTCCAATCAAAGTATTAGTCCATCAAATGGATTAATCCACTGATACAGTCACAGCCCTCATGATCCAATCATTTTCTAAAAGCCCACCTCTGAACCTGGCTGCACTGGGGACCATACTTTCAACACATGAGCTTTTTGAGGACATTTGAGATCCAAACCATAACATATGGTTTGTCACTGTTTTCTCCCATTCTGTAGGTTGTCTCCTTGATTTTTTCCTTGGTTGTGCAGAATGTTTTAGCTTGATGCAATCTCAAGTACCTATTTTTACTTTTATTGCCTGTCCATGAGAGGTCCTATCCAAAAAAACCATTGCCCAGACCAATATGATGCGGCTTTCCCCATGTTTTCTTCTAGTAGTTTTACAGTGTCAGGTCTATGTTCAATGTTTAATCCATTTTAAATTGACTTATGTATGTGGTGTGAGATAAAGGAATCTAATTCTTCTGTATGTGGATATTTGGTTTTCCGAGCCTGATTGATAAAGATCATTATTGAAAAGATTGTCTTTCCCTATTGTGTGTTCTTGGCATCTTTATCAAAATCAATTGACTATAAGTGCATGGATTTATTTCTAGGCTCTGTATTCTGTTCCATTTGCCTATATAACTGTTTTATTCTAGCACCATGCTGTTTTAATCTCTATAGTTTGTGTGGTATATTTTTAAACCAGGCAGTATAATGCCTTTAGTTTTTTGTTTCTTTTTCTTCCCCCTTATGATTGTGCTGGCTTTCTAGGGTCTTTTGTGATTCCATATGAATTTTCATTTTTGAATTGTTTCTCTCTCTTTTTAACTAGGAATTGAGCCCAGGGGTGCCCTACCACCGAGCTACATCACCAACCCTTTTCCTTTTATTTTTAAATTTTGACAGAAGGTCTCACTAAGTTGCCCAGCATGGTCTTGAACTTGCTATCCTTCTGCTTCAGGCTTCTGAGTACCTGGGATTACAGGCACAAACCACAGTACCTGGAAGGATTGTTTTGTTTTTCTTTCTGTGAAGAATAGCCTTAGAATTTTTTGGAGTGGGGAGGGGGTACTAGGAATTGAACCCAGTGTGCTTTACCACTGAGCTACATCCTCAGCCCTTTTTTTTATTTTGAGAAAGGGTCTTGCTAAGTTGTTTAGAGCCTCACTTAGTTGCCTAGGCTGGCCTCGAACTTGTGATCCTCCTGCCTCAGCCTCCCAAGTGGCTGGGATTTCAGGTGTGCACCACTGTGCCTGGCAGGTCATTGGAATTTTGATAGAGATTCCATTTATTCTAATTGCTTTGGGTAGTGTGCTGCTATTATACAAGAATCCACATCTTTCATCTGTCTGTTTTTCTATTCAGTAATCCTTTCAGCATTTTGTTCCTTTCCCATCCATTCATTCATCTTTCTGTCTGTTGCCCATCCAACCAAATGTGCCTCAGAACTTTTCTGGTAACTCCTACAGGATAAGGAGTCAGAGAGAAAAGCAACATTGTCCCCTGCCTTCAAGGGGAGGTGAGCAATGATGGAGGGCCTCAGGCTTTGCATGAGTGGCTGGGGAGGTCTGCGCACAGATCAGAGTTGGGCTCACTGCTGGAGAGCAAGGAAAGGCCTAAGGGGGGCCCATGGCCAAATGGCCAGATGCAGCCTCCCTCGGGTCTGACATTCATGACAAACCTGTTTCCCAGGCCCTTGGCTCACTGGGCCCCAAAGTCCTTCTGCCCAGGTCCTCAAAGCTGGTATGAGCTATGCTTCCATACTCACCTACCACCCCTAGCTTTCCCTGAGGTTCCTGGTCCCTTTGACTTCTTCCCGCCTCCCTCTTCCCTCTCCCCACACAGAAGCCTGCTGCAGAGTTGGGAGCGGCAGCAGCGGGAGCAGCAGCAGCAGGCTGAGCTGCGCAGGACTCGGGAACATCGGGTTCAGCAGCAGGTGGCCCGCTGCCTAGCATCCTATGCACCCCCAGGGGGCCGGGGGCCCAGTGCCACCCAGCGCAAGGTGGAGGAACTGAGGTAGGAGCCTGGCATGCCAAAAGTCTATTGGGGTAAGGCAGAGAAGTTTGCTGGATGTCAGGCTGCAGGACCCCAAGGCAGCTGGCCAGACCACTTGGCAGCATTTTACAGATGGCTTTTTTTTAAGGGGGGGCTGTGGTGCTGGGGACTGTCCAATGCTCAAGATCAAAAGTTCTGCATGCATTTATCACATTTCCCAATTTTGTTCTTCCAATTTCCAATGACAGATATGCTTATTATTATATTTTTTAAGTATGACCAAATTTAATACATTTTTTTTTAGAGAGAGAGAGAATTTTTTATATATATATATATATATTTTTTTTAGTTTTTGGCGGACACAACATCTTTGTTGGTATGTGGTGCTGAGGATCGAACCCGGGCCGCACGCATGCCAGGCGAGCGTGCTACCGCTTGAGCCACATCCCCAGCCCAGATATGCTTATTATAAAGATGTGAAATCACAAAAATAATTAATGTAGAACTTGGTCCTATTCTAGAGACAACTGCTGTGCATGGTCAGGTGCATTTTTATCCTCTTCCATTTTTCTAAAATTTCAAAGCAAATTTATGAGTCAGACCCATGAAATAAAGAGCGTCACTACCCACATAATCCTACAGATGAGGAAAACTGAAACCCAGAGAGCTTAAATGATCCACCCACTCTTGAATGAGCAGCAGAGCTGGAGTTTTGGCTCCAGCAGCCGTTCAATACAGTCCTTGCTACACTGCCCAGTGCCCAATCTTCAGGGAAGGGCACCAGATGGTCGTCCAAGAGCCCAATCTTACGAAACAGAGAGCGTTAATAATCTGACCCTGCAGGCTGCAGCTGGTTCCAGGGAGGCCCTTTCCACCCCTCCTCTTCTCTTGACCTCGGTGAGTGGCAGGGAGAGGGATGAGGGCCACTGAGGCCTTGGTGGGGCTCTGATCAGCTATTCTCTGAGTTTTGGTCTTGTCCCTGCAGTTTACAGATGAGGAAATGGGCTGTGAGAGGTCAAGTGTTTTAGGGGATCCTTGGCCAAAGATTGCCAAGCCTCCAGTTAATCATTTGTTTTTTGAGCAATGGGAAGTGTGAGATTCAGCTCCAAGCAGTACGTGCCTTTCTTTCTCATCTGGGAGATGAAGGCATACACAGATCTTTCCCTGGCTATCTTCCAGTCTTACAGCCTGGGAAATTTGCTGTCTGAGCTAAATCTGAGACTCTACCCTGCCCAGCAGGGGCAGGCACAGAAGAGGTAGCCTGATGGCAGGGAGATATATCTTCCCATCATTCCAAGATAACAGACAGAGGGCTGGGCTGTCACTTAGTAGCAGAGCATTTGCCTAGCATGTATAGGCCCTGTGCTTAATCCCCAGCAGCACAAAAATAATGACAAAAAAAAAACCAATATAACACACAGAACTGACATCCACTGGCACTGAGTCCTTTTTCTCTTGGGGCTCCAAGACATGAGCTTCCTGTCACTTCTACCAAAAATAGGATAAAGTATCCAGGAAGAAGCTGAGAGCAGTGGTGCAAGCCAGTTGTTCCCAGATTGCTTGGGCCCAGGAGTTTGAGAGCAGCCTGGGCAATACAACGAGATCCTGATCCAATACAATAACAGCAAAATTTGTATTTTAAAAGTATAAAGCAATGCCAGGTGCAGTGTGCATGCCTGTAATCCCAACTACTTGGGAGGCTGAGACAGGAGAATTGTGAGTTCAAAGCCAGCCTCAGCAATGGCAGGGCACTAAGCAACTCAGTGAGACCCTGTCTCTAAATACAAAAATAGGGCTGGGGATGTGGTTCAGTGGTTCAGTGGCCCGGAGTTCAATCCTCAGTACCAAAAGCAAAAACAAAAAAAACCCAAAAGTAGACAGCAAGAAAAACGCACACACAACCATGGAAAAGACAGATACTTAATGCCAGCTTGTGATGCTGCCCCACCCCCACCCAAACTTGAAACTGCTGTAAATTCCCTCTTGAATGGTGAAGCCCCATTTTGCAGGCACTTTTCTTCCTGGCCATGTATTTCTAAGTCCACATCCTTTTCTCCATGAGGGAAGGTTCCTTCTTGGGCACCTGGCCCAGCGAGGCAAGAGTTTTCTGCCAGAGAGCCAGAACACTTGCCAGAGAGCCCAGCTCGTCTCAAGTTTCTTCTACTTCTCCCTCCTGTCTTATCCAGGTGCTGCCCCCACATCCCATGGGTTGTCTTGGGTGCTTTCCTGAAGGACATATGGTCCCATGTGGGGTGTGGCCAGAAGGTCCCCTTCCACCAGGATGCTCTCAACAACAAGCAATGGCATTCAACTGGTTGAGCAAATTTCTGACAATTGTACAAACTGGGCTTTTGTAAATGGCATCAGCTACCCCAGTGGAGCCCTGACCTTTCAGGAATGTTTCATTTCAACACATTTCTTTGGTTTCTCTGAACCTTTTCCTAAGCTGTCTGCTTAGAAGGAGCAGAGCCACCACTGGCAAGCCTGGAAGGTAACCAGAGCCCAGAAAGGGGACTCCTCAGTCACACAGCCAGCAATCACAGCATGCTCCTGTGTGAGGGGGAATGACGGGTGGACTACAGGGAGGGGGAGCTGGGAAGCCAATGCTGGCTCCGTTCCCTTGGGGATAGCAAGGACAAGGAGCCAGCCCTGGCTAGAGCCTGGCCTAGGGCTCAGGGCTCAGTCCCTCACTTCCCAGCTGCACAACCTTAGAGAAGTCCCTTGACCTTCCTGAGCCATCAGTAAGGTAGGGCAAGTAATTCCCACCCTGGCAGACCTGGGAGGGGTCCAGAGCCAGGATTATGTATGAAATGGCTTTATAAAGGTCAGAGCAGGGACCTTTATAAAACCCTTAGTGAGGACAAGCAGGCTGTGGACAGGGATGGGTTGTGTTCATCCCCATAGCACTATCTCCCCCACAGGCGCCAAGAGCGACAGCGCTTTGCTGAGTACCAGGCGGAGTTGCAGGGCATCCAACACAGGGTGCAGGCCCGGCCCTTCCTATTCCAGCAGGCCATGCAGGTGAGGGCCAGCACCTGTCAAAGCCAACAGCCACCAGGGAGCGTGGAGCCAGCTGAGTGGGCAGGGTAGCCAGGTGGAAGTGGGGCACTCAGGTGGGGTCCCTGTGTTGCTGCCTCCAGGGAAACCCGAGACATCCCCACCCCCAGTCATCGATGCTCCACGGTGGCCTCTGCAGACCTGATGCAGAGAAGGAAACCCCTTCTTTCCTCAGACCAATGCCAGGCTCACCGTGGCCCGGCGCTTCTCCCAGGTGCTGTCAGCACTAGGAGTGAATGAGGAGGAGCTGATGGCTGAGACACATAAAAGGGATACAGTGGGAACCTCCAGGAAACCCAGGTGAGGTAATCTGGATAGCCAAAGACTGGATCTACAGAACTACTGTAGGACAAGGAACCAAGAACAGACTTTGAGCCCTACAGGGTTTCCCTCATGTCACTTGGGAAGGCAGGGACCAGGGTTATTGTTCCTGCTTCCAATGAAGACAGAGGGGCAGGGCCTTGCTTAAGGACATAGGAGTGAATAAGCAGCCAAATCAGTCTGGGACTCTGCAGCTTTCTGAGCAGCTGCACACTAAACCCCAGTAGGGGCTAGTGCCACGCTGGTCATCCCATACATACTGTCCCTTACACCTTAGAATAACCTGGTATAGAGCAGGGATTATGAGGCCCACTTTGCAGTAAAGAAAATTAAACTCAAGAAGGGGGAGTCACTTGCCCAGGGTCATTCAGCATGCTAGCATAGGTGCAGGATTTGAAGCCAGTGGGTCAGTGGTTTCCTGGGCATGGAGTGGAGGCTGTGGAGCCCAATGGCCTTCATCTGTGTCTTTAAGGAGCCACAGGTCAATGGGGGTGAGAATGGAGCCCTCTTCTCGGAGCCCCCCAAAGACAGAACCCACTGGCAGCCAGCCTGATAGGCACTTTTCCGCCAGCCTGGACAGAGTGCTGTCCCCAAGATGAAAATTAAAGGCTTTATGGCAAATACAGTGTGGGATTTCTGGGGGGGGGGGTGAGACTCTGGGCGGGGAGTAAGTGATGAATGGGTGGGGCAGCAGGCCTCGCTTTCTCCACATCCCCCAGGAGCTCTGACTGTTCTTGCCGTCTCCACCCTGCACACACAGCCCTGCCTCTCCTTCTGAGTGGTACATCTCAAGAAGCAACAGCTGAGACTTCTCCATGCAGTCAAATTCAAAAGGGAAAAGAACGTGAGCATGGTGGCTCATGCCTGTAATCCTAGCAGCCAGGGAGGCTGAGGCAGGAGGATTGCAGAGTTCAAAGCAGCCTCGGCAACTCAGTGAGACCCTGTCTCAAAATACAATATTTTTTAAAAAAGGGCTGGGGATGTGGCTCAGTGGTTAAGGGCCCCTGGATCCCTGGTACCCGTCCCCCCCCCCCGAAAAAAGGGGGGGTGTTGAAAAGGTTCCTGTATTTGAGTACTCCCATGGGGTGGGGGTGGGACTTTAAAGGGGAACTCATAACATATCCTAACATCTGAGATGGGTCACACAGGGAGTCCACAAAGGGAGCAACCTGTGGGGGGGGGGTTGTGTGAACCGGGCTTTTAAGTCCTGGTAATTTTAAATTAAAATCCTTCTCAAGTTTTAAAAAAGAAAGAAATATAAGTACACACAAATGTGTCCAATTTTGTATTCAATTTCACGGGGTTTACAGGCGCACAGAAGCTCCTACAGCACCTGAGCAATTTAGAGCAGGTTAAAAAAAAAATCCAGCCGAACGCGAGGGCAGGATGCTCACAATACTGGTTATGAGAGTTCCGAGTTGGGGCCTCAGAAAAGAGGAAAACATTCTGCACCATCTAACACCCCAAGAAGCCCACTAGAAGGGCGCCCACTAGTGAGAGGGAGCAGCCTGCAGCAGCTGGGGGAATGAGCGGAGCTCAGGAAAAGGCTTCCAGTTCGGGGGATGCTGATTTCAAAAGGATCCAGTTCCTTGCAGCTCTGCGATTCGGTCTTCTGGAGGAGAGGCTAACCCCGAGCCGAGTAGTGCATGCGCACAGACCGCCACCGCACCGAGGTGGCCGCGAATACGTAATCGGACCCTGATTCCGGCCTTCCCGTGAGCCTTTGGGGCCGACTCCCGTGCGAACGCCGGAAGCAGCCATTCTTGGTTTCCGGCAATAGGACAGCGGCGGCCTTGCGACCCGGAAGTGTTCCCATTTTGCGTCGTCGGGGCTCGGCGGCTACCCGGCTCCAGGCGTACGCACCACTATGGGGTCTTCGAAGAAGCACCGCGGAGAGAAAGAGGCGGCCGGGAGCACGGCGGCGGCCGGCACTGGGGGGACCACCGAGCAGCCGCCGCGGCATCGGGAGCACAAGAAACACAAGCACCGGAGTGGCGGTGGCGGCAGCAGTGGCGGTGAACGACGGAAGCGGAGCCGGGAACGTGGGGGCGAGCGCGGGAGCGGGCGGCGCGGGGCCGAAGCCGAGGCCCGCAGCAGCGCGCACGGGCGGGAGCGCAGCCAGGCCGAGCCCTCAGAGCGGCGCGTGAAGCGAGAGAAGCGCGATGATGGCTACGAGGCCGGTGAGGGCGGGGCTTGCGCGGGGGGGCGGGGCGGGGCCCGGGCGCCTGCTTGAAGCTCGCCCGGGGCTCTTTTCACCTGCATTTGTTAAAGGGTGTTGGGATTAAAGGTTGATCCTCTGCACTGAGCCCCGTGAAGACGAACGTCTTCTGTTTTCCTCAGTTGTCTCGCATGACAGGCTTTCAAATAAATGTGTTGGGGGAATAAATGAACGACTGGATGAAGTGGTATCAGTGTGTCCCGAAGCAAGAGAAAACCTGGTGTTGGGAAAATCGCGTAGAGACCTGAGGCAGTAAGGTGGGCGGGGTCTAAATACGGAAGGACCCTGTGCATTATGCTCTGCTCTGCTCTGCTCACGGTAGGGAGCCTAGGATTTGAGTTAGGGAATGGGTCAGATTCATGTTTGTGAAGCCCACTGCATTGAGAACTTGTTCAAAGACAGGACTGGAGGCCCAGGAGTCAGGAGGGCTATAAACCCACCAGTGAGGGCTGATTGTGGTCTAAACCAAGAATTTTGCTAGGAGGGAGTGATTAGTAATGTTAGACTCCACAGGGGATCAAGCAAAACCAAAACTGAAGAAGGAGGCTGGTGACCTTGGAGAGGCTGGGATCCAGGGCCATGTAGAGAGAAAGAGAACTTGGGTATTTAAGAGGAGGTAGGCTATGGGGATAGGGATTCAGGAAAGGATTTGCTCCTAATGGCAGGATGTTCTATCCAGTGGTGTCCAGCTTCTCTACATAGTGTTCAGTGAAGTTCTTTGCTGTTTGTGAGGTGGACAAGGGAGGTCCAACATGCTAAGTTATCAGTGTCCTGAACATGTCACATAGAAGAGTCACCAGTGTTTCTCAACTGCTTGAATTGCATAGAGGACACGGTCATGCTGCAGACAGCCCCTGCTGTGTGGGGAGAAACAGACCCAGAAATGATGGACTGTGCCAGAGTTCATGGCAGAATGGTTAATTCTGATTAGCAATTGAATGGGGCTTCATGAAGGAGGTGGTATTTTGATCTTTGCATTTGGATAGGATTTTTTGTCAAAGAGGGCAAGTCCAGATTAGATTGTTAGATTCCTGACAGTTTAGATTGAAGATACAGAATATACAGAAGTGGAGAGGGAAAAGTGAGGGGTACAGAAATTTGGACCTCTTGGGTCAGGAAAGGAGGATGCATAGAAGAGAGAGAGAGATCTGTCAACGGAAACTTGTATAGAGGAGCTGTTGGGGAGCCCAGAGAGGAAGAAGCTGCTGTTGTCTGGTGTTCAGGAGGCCCAGGTGCTGGTGAGGGGCCCTCATCTTTGACCCTGCAGCTGGAGTCGGTGATGCTGGCTTCTTGGCCCTGTGTTCAGCCCCTGCCATGCCTCTTGTTGTTTCAGCTGCCAGCTCCAAAAGTAGCTCAGGAGATGCCTCATCGCTTAGCATTGAGGAGACCAAGTGAGTACTATTTCCCTTGAGCTTCTGCTTTCTTCTTCTGGGGCAGCCATATTGGATGACATTCTCACACTAAAGTGGGCCAGGTGGAGTTGGAAGGGTCGTATGAATTGTCTTAGCTAAGCGTTTGAGTTATAGAGGGAGGAATTAAGACGCAGGAAAAAGGATGATATTCACTAGTTGGGGACAAGCCAAGACTAGCACCCATATTCCCTGGTAGGGAGACCAGTGCCATTTCCACTATCCAGGGCTGCCCAGGTTAGGGTGTATGTTTAGGATAGGGTTACTCATTCCCACCCTAATTTTTACCTCCTATTTGTCCAAAAATGCATGTGGTGCCCCATTTCTTGTGGGTTTAGTTTGTTTTTGTGGTGTTGGGGTGGAACCCAGAGTATCATGCATACCAGTCAAGTGTTCTTCCACTGGTCTACATCTCCAACCTGACATCCCATTTATTTGGCAGCCCCTAACACTTATATCTCTTGTCCTTAGTAAACTCCGGGCGAAGTTGGGGCTGAAACCCTTGGAGGTCAATGCCGTCAAGAAAGGTAAGTTTAGGGCTGAGGATGGGGTCAAGGGAGGTACAGCGATCATCTGTAAGGGTCTGTGAAGAAAATGGTGTTAGAGTGCAGAGGCAGCAACACTTAGTGGTTGTGTGTGTGTATCTGCCAGAGAGCACAAGGCCTCTCCTTGCTGTAGTGGGGATCTGGTGTGTGGCTTGCTCTGGTTCACCATGGCATCCTCACTCTGGCTGGAAGGTGCTCTTAGTCGGGCTGAGACTTGCACAGTTGCTGCAAACTGACTGGACTGCGTGAGATTGGTTTTTTAATTAAAATAGAACGACATGATTTGAGGAGGTTTGGAAAGTGTAGAGGGTCCTGTCGTTCTTTGTGGGGGACACAGAAGTATGGGGATGGAGCGGGGGCAGGGAGGTGAAGGGTTCTTCCCCTTTCCCTGGCTCCTTCTGGCCCTCTGAGCTGGAAGGGGGCAGGGTGAGTGGCTCCCTCCTCTCCCCACCAGCCATGGGCAGGCATAGCCTCACGTCTGGGCCCCCCTTCCAGAGGCGGGCACCAAGGAGGAGCCCGTGGTGGCCGATGTCATCAACCCCATGGCCATACGACAGCGAGAAGAGCTCCGGGAGAAGCTAGCAGCTGCCAAGGAAAAGCGCCTACTGAATCAAAAGTTGGGGTGAGGGGTCCCAGCCAGGGACAGGCAGAGGAGGCTGCTATTCTTGCTGCCTCATGGGTTGGGGTTGGGCAGCAGGTGGTGAGCTCCCCCAATCCTCACTCCCTTCCCTCCTCAGGAAGATAAAGACACTGGGGGAAGATGACCCCTGGCTGGACGATACTGCAGCCTGGATCGAGAGGAGTCGACAGCTTCAGAAGGAGAAGGATTTGGCAGAGAAGAGGGTGAGCAGCAGGGGAGCTGGGGTGGTTGCTAGGGGCCTCTGGGGGCTGCCAGGTGAGGCTGGAGCCTGGCCCTTGAGAGGTGAGATGGCTCAGAGAGGAGGGGGGCTCATGGTCGGGCCATGAATTATCTGCAGCTTGCCTGCGAGGCCTTCCCTTTTTGTGCTTCCTCTTGTTAGAGACCTGGGTGTTTGCTGGTGATGCTGAATGGCCCGAGGTCACAGGCCACCCCTCTCTGTCCCATAGGCGAAACTGCTGGAGGAGATGGACCAAGAGTTTGGTGTCAGCACTCTGGTGGAGGAGGAGTTTGGGCAGAGGCGACAGGTAAGGCTGCAGCAGCTGGGGAGGGCAGGATGGGGGTGTTGCCACCTTGGTGCTGGGATCTCAGGGTTGGGTGAGTTACAGCTCCTGACTCAGGTGGATCTTCCTCCTTAGGACCTGTACAGTGCCCGGGACCTGCAGGGCCTCACTGTGGAACATGCCATTGATTCCTTCCGAGAAGGGGAGACTGTGATCCTTACCCTCAAGGACAAAGGTGAGCGAGCTGGGTGTTCTGGAGGAGGTCCCAGACACTGCTGAGCCAAGGGCAAGGGTGGGTGGTCACTGCCTCTGCCCTGTCAGGTGTGCTGCAGGAAGAGGAGGATGTGCTGGTGAACGTGAACCTGGTCGATAAGGAGCGGGCAGAGAAGAATGTAGAGCTGCGTAAGAAGAAGCCTGACTACCTGCCCTATGCCGAGGACGAGAGTGTGGATGACCTGGCACAGGCATGCCAGCAGGGTGGTGAACGGGGCAGGGCCTGGGCTGCTGAGGAGATGGGCTTCATGGCTTGTAAGGAGCCACCCTGGGTCCCAATCTGTACCTCTTGCCCTACAGCAAAAACCTCGCTCTGTCCTGGCCAAGTATGACGAGGAGCTGGAAGGCGAGCGGCCACACTCCTTTCGTCTGGAGCAAGGCGGCACCGCCGATGGTCTGCGGGAGCGGGAGCTGGAAGAGATCAGGGCCAAGCTGCGGCTGCAGGCTCAGTCCCTGAGCTCTGTGGGGCCCCGTGTGGCCTCAGAGTACCTGACACCTGAGGAGATGGTGAGCGCCTCTGTGCATCCTACTGGAGTGCAGATTCTTTGTGCCCCTTGGGCTGTGGGCTGCCAGTTTGCACTCGGGGAGGTTGAGCATTGGCACAGGGCTGGGTTCCTAGGTGGTTTGTAAATGGCTGCCCTGGGGAGGAGCTGGGTGTTGACGAACAGAGACTGTTGAGCCAGATGTATCCAAGCTTGTGTTCCGGCTCTGCAATGCAGCCAGCTTGTGTCTTGGGTGAGTCATTTAACTGAACCTGAGGTGCCCATCTGGAGTGGCAATGACAGCAGCCACCTCATGAGGCTACTATGAATAGTGATAATGTTTGCAGATGATAATTTTAGAGGCTCACATGGATTTTGGGCTCAGAGGGATTGTGAACAGAGGCAAACAACAGGTGTGGTTGGTGTCTTGGCTAAAGGGGAAAGAGTCTTGGAGCCGTACTACCAAGGCTTCCAGGCCTGGCTCTCCCACTTAGGAGCTGGGCAACTTTGGGCAGGGTATGTACCCTCTCTGACCTCATTTCTCTCATCTCACAGTAGAGTGCTAATAGCACCCACTTCACATGTGTATATGGGAAGTACTGGGGACAGTGCTTGGCACAGAATAACACTAAAGAAGTAGTTACTGAACTGGGTGTGGTGGCACATACCTGTAATCCAGCAACTCATAAGGCTAAGACAGGAGCATGTCAAGTTCAAGGCCAGCCTTAGCCACTTAGTGAGATCCTGTTAAAACGTAAAAAGAGGGGTTGGGGTTGTGGCTCAGTGGTAGTACACTTGCCTAGCATGCGTGAGGCACTGGGTTCGATTCTCAGCACCACATACAAATAAGTGAAAATAAAAGTCCATCAACAATTTAAAAAATATTTAAAAAAAAAAAAAAAAGTGGGGCTGGGGATGTGGCTCAAGCGGTAGCGCGCTCGCCTGGCATGTGTGTGGTCCGGGTTCGATCCTCAGCACCACATACAAACAAAGATGTTGTGTCCGCCGAAAACTAGAAAATAAATATTAAAAAAATTCTCTCTCTCTTTCATCTCTCTCAAAAAAAAAAAAAGGTAAAAAGAACTGGGGGTGTGGCTCATAGGCAGAGCACTCTGGGTAGTCCCACGTACAACTGAAAAACAGAAAATGGTAGCCGTTATCAAGGTCATGGAGGCCTGCCTTCCACATCTCTCATGTCTCCTCAGGTGACCTTTAAAAAGACCAAGAGGAGGGTGAAGAAAATCCGCAAGAAGGAGAAGGAAGTGATCGTGCGGGCGGACGACTTGCTGCCTCTTGGAGACCAGACTCAAGACGGGGACTTTGGTTCCAGGTGGGTGTGACTGCAGAGGTGGGTGTGAGGCTGGGCTGGCCTGGGCCAGGGCTCACTAGAGGGGCCTCCTCCTCCCAGACTGCGGGGCAGGGGTCGGCGCCGAGTGCCTGAAGTGGAGGAGGTGGCAGCCCCAGAGGATGAGGAGAAGGAGCCTGTGCCCCAGCCCCCGCCATCAGATGACACCCGTGTGGAGAACATGGACATCAGTGACGACGGTGAGGGGCTGGTCAGCAGCAGGTGGGGATGGGTTGGGGACCAAGGAAGTGAAATGAACAGGTGTCCTCCATCTCCCCACCAGAGGACGGAGGAGCTCTGCCTTCGGGGTCTCCGGAGGTGCTGGAGGAGGACGAGGCGGAGCTGGAGCTGCAGAAGCAGCTGGAGAAGGGGCGTCGGCTGCGGCAGCTGCAGCAGCTGCGGGACAGCGGGGAGAAGGTGAGGCCAGTGCCAGCGTGACTGTGACAGCCTGTGCCCGTGAGCACCCACATTTGTGTCAGCACAGGCGGCACTGCGTCCCACAAGGACTCTCCTTGGTGCAGAGCCGGGTCCTGAGCGAGTTTCTGGCCTTGGTGGGGGTGCCCTGCATCGGCTTTCCTTTGCCCACTCTTGGGCACTTGCTATGGGTGGGGCTCTGTTCTCAAGCCTGGGCATCCTTGGCAAGCAGGACAGTCCCAGGGCCCTGTTATTGTGCTGGGGACAGTGGTGACCTTGTGAGCGGAGAGGCAGGCAGTAGTTTCTGATAGTGACGAGAGCTGTGCGGAGTAAAACAAGGTAGCGCGAGGTCAGTGCTCAGAGAGGGCCTATCAGAGGCATCTGAGCTGAGGCCTAGGTAACACAAGGAGATAGAGGGGTGGAGGCTGTGGGACAGCAGATGTCTTCAGAAGTGACCCTGGAGTGCCTGAGGCCTGGGTAGGCTGGGGTAGGGAGCGAGCGAGCAGATAGATGGAGAGCCGAGGTGAGAGGTCAGCAGGGTCAGTTTGTGTGAGCTCTGGAGGCCATAGCCTTCCTAGCCTTCCAGGGCAGTTACATGAGGCCGGCCAGGCAGAAGTAGACATGGTGACAGAATCTCTCAGGAGCTTACTTTCTTGCAGGGGGCTGCAGGGTCAAGGGAGAAGTGAGTCCTTGAAAGAGGAATTGATTAGGTGTGGTATGGGTGGCAGGAGGGACCCTGGAGTGGAGACCAATTGGAAGGTCCAATGTGAGCTGTGGGAATGGCTTGCTTATTGTACCCAGGGAGAATTGGAGGGTCCCGGGTCTCAGTGGCATCACCCCAGAAACTTCTGGGTCTGCCCACAGCTGCTCCCTCCCCCAGGTGGTGGAGATTGTGAAGAAGTTGGAGTCTCGCCAGCGAGGCTGGGAGGAGGAGGAGGATCCTGAGCGAAAGGGGGCCATCGTGTTCAACGCCACCTCCGAGTTCTGCCGCACCCTAGGGGAAATCCCCACCTATGGTCTGGCTGGCAACCGGGAGGAGCAGGAGGAACTCATGGTGGGTCCCATGGCCCCCTCTTCTTGGCTGGCCAGCTCTGCTCTCAGCCACAGGCCTAGTGCTCAGGGGAGGGAGTGGGCAGCCCAGGCTGACCCTAATTTCACACCCCAGGACTTTGAACGGGACGAGGAGCGCTCTGCCAATGGAGGCTCGGAATCGGATGGGGAGGAGAACATCGGCTGGAGCACCGTCAACCTGGATGAGGAGAAGCAGCAGCAGGACGTGAGGATGGGTGTGGGCGGGGGTGTCCCTTGTGCCCCAGAACCCCCACCTCATCCCTAGAGTGGCTCTGAGGCCCAAGGGCTGGCTGGGGTTGGGAGGCTGTCCACAGGGTCCTTGCCTGGTGGGGAGTGACGGGGGCAAGGGGGTAGGAGGAGCCTGTGTGGCTCGCTTATGCCCCACGTGTCCTCCCCAGTTCTCTGCCTCCTCCACCACCATCCTGGATGAGGAGCCCATTGTGAACAGAGGGCTGGCTGCTGCCCTGCTGCTCTGCCAGAACAAAGGTGCGGGCTGGGTGCTGTGGCGGGGAGGCGGGGTGCTGCCTGTGGGTGAGGCAGGTGCAGTGCATGCCTCTGTCCCCCTCTGCTGCCTTTTCCTCAGCCCCAGTGCCATGAATATGGGGCCTTGAATCACTTTAGTTCTGGGCATTCGGTGGCAGCATCTGTCCCTCTGCTGTGCTGTCAGGACTCCGTGTCTCCTCAGGAAGGAGTGAGGCGAGACTGGGGTTAGGTCCCAGCTCTGCCATTTCCTGGGTGAAGGTCTTTGCCTGCGTGTGCAGTGGGCACACTCAGCAGGGCGGAGGCTCTCTAGCACCCACATGCTGGGGCTGCTTCAGGCTGCCTCGGAGCTGGGCCTGTCAAGGGTGTGGGCAGTCTGGAGTCTCATAGCCTCTCTGTCCCCAGGGCTGCTGGAGACCACAGTGCAGAAGGTAGCCCGGGTGAAGGCCCCCAACAAGTCCCTTCCCTCAGCTGTGTATTGCATCGAGGACAAGATGTAAGTGGGCACGCAGGGGTGCAGGCCTTCCCGGAACACGGAGTGGGTGGCCAGTGGTTCATACTGAGCCCCTTTATCTTGCTTCAGGGCCATCGATGACAAGTACAGCCGGCGGGAGGAGTACCGAGGCTTCACCCAGGACTTCAAGGAGAAGGACGGCTACAAGCCTGATGTTAAGATCGAGTATGTGGATGAGACGGGCCGGAAACTCACGCCCAAGGAGGTATGTGCAGGCCCCTTTGCAGATAGGGCCAGGCCAATGGTGACTGGGTCAGGGAAAGGCCAGAGCCCACTGAGGGGCCTGTCTTGCTGCCTCTGACTGGGGTCCTGGTGAGGTGGTAGAGTGACCTGGTGAGATAGGTTTCTGGCTCTTGTGGTCAAGAGTCAGCAATCCCCTCCCACCTGGCACGGGGGTCAGACAGGCACCTCTGTACCTCTTGCCTGCCTACTGCAGCCAAAGCCCCCAGCCCAAGGGCCACCATCCTTGAGGGCGTGTCCAGGCTTCTGCCGTGGCTCTCCACCCCACACTCACTGCGTCCAGCCCTAGCCCCGCGTGGCAGGTCTCACGCCAGGTCCCCTGTTATGCTGAAGTCTGTGCCCTCTCCCCCTCCCCCCCTCCCTGCTGCCAGGCCTAGCCCTGGAGTGCGTGAATCAGCACGCTCTCACCCTATTGGGAAGCTCCTCCCAGGTACAGGTGGCCCTGGCCTCACCTGTAGTCCCTGCAGCTCCTGGCCCATGCCCTGTGTCCCCCAGGCTTTCCGGCAGCTGTCCCACCGCTTCCATGGGAAAGGCTCGGGCAAGATGAAGACAGAACGACGGATGAAGAAGCTGGATGAGGAGGCGGTGGGTGCCCAGGGACGTGCTGCATTTGTGGGTGCTGGTGGTGATATGCCGGGCCTCTTTCTGCCCCTGTGCTAACTGGCCCCTGCCCACAGCTCCTGAAGAAGATGAGCTCCAGTGACACGCCCCTGGGCACCGTGGCTTTGCTCCAAGAGAAGCAGAAGGCCCAGAAGACCCCATACATTGTGCTCAGTGGCAGTGGCAAGAGCATGAACGCGTGAGTGGGAGGTGCATGGGGAGGGGGTGGGGGGACTGCGCCCACTTCCCTGGAGCTTTACACGTCTCTTCTCCCTGCAGGAACACCATCACCAAGTGAAGCTGGCCTCCCCCAAAGCCCCTCCCCAACTTTAATGTTAAATAAAGTTCCCTCCTTATTTTTTCCTCCCTGGTCGTGGTGCAGAGTCCAGGGTTATGCCCAGGAGGAGGGGTAGGTGGTACTCTCAGGCAGCCTGGGCCTCTTGTTCCTCATCAGCTGTGTAACTCAGGCAAGTGGCTGAACCTCTCTGAGCCTCAATTCTGCCTTTTGTAAGTCAAAACAGCTCTGCTTCATAGGATTTCATGTGCAGATTCAGTGAGCTCATTCATTCACTCATTCCCTTGGAATTTGGGCATGAGCAAGATAGGACAGATCCCTGAACACGTGAGACTCAGAGTCTGGCCTCTCTGCCAGTTGACACCCAGTCATCAGATGGCACAACTAACTGAACAGAGATAACAGAGAACAACTAGTCTGGATCCTTGAAGATGATCCTTTACCTGCCTTGGCCCCAGCCAGCTAGGGAAACCAGTGTGTACCCTGCCCTCTCCACCTGTGGTGGCACAGGTCCTGCTATGGAGATGCCCTCATGCCTTCTTGGTGGATACTTCCTGATATGACGTGGAAGGTGTTCTAGAGACTTGGTTCCCCTGGCATCTCCAGGACTGCTTGAGCCACTGCCCTGTAATCTCCCCAGTTAGACAGTTTGCAGGGTGGCCCAGGCCTGCCCAGCGCAGTGGGATAGGGATTGAGTTCTGTACAGGGTGGAGGGGCCACTACCTGTGTCCGCCCTCCTTGGCTGCCTCAGTCTGTGAAGGTGAGGGCCATCCCAGCTGCACCTTGTCCAGGGCCAGGTCGGCTGAGCCAAGGCACTTGAAGACTTGTCCGGCACAGCTGCACCAGGAGAGGTAGGGCTCCTGCTGGGAGGGAGCTCTTGGGGCAGCCTGAGCCATCAACAAGATACTTGAGAGCCCAGCATATGTGGACAGTGACCCAGCTGCTACCTCAGGCATCAGAGAAAGTGGGTGTCCTGCTCCCTATCCCCCAGATACATTCCAGATGGGTCACAGATTTTAAAATAAAAGAATGAAACCAAAAAAATAAATTGAAGGAAATGGTGAACTTTAAAATATAATCTTGGAGTGGGAGAATGTAAGGGACAAAACCCAGTTGCCTTAAAATAAACTATTAGTGTTGGACAATGTGATTTCTGTGTTGTAAAGACCACAAAGCAGGCAGGCCACTTTTTTCACTCTAGTTTGAACTCATTCTGATTTACTTTTCCCTTTGGCTGTGCCCTCAAGGTAGGTGCCTGCGGGGTGCACTTGTTGGGTCTAGGACTCGGGGAATCAGTCCTTTCTCTCAAAACTGCATGCGGTGCTTCCAGTGTTGGGACCGACAATCTGGTACGTCTGGCTGGCTGTTGAAGCTCGTGCCTTATTTGCAGGAAATGGACCAATAGGCTGCTTTATCCCAGGCCTGGTCTAGAGCCAAGATGGCTCCATAGTAGAACTTTCTGGCTCTATCCGTGGCCACTGGGCAGATTAAATGGCAAGTCAGGGAACAGAAGGGCTCCCTAAGACACCTGAGGGGCTCCAAGCTGGTGCAGTCTGCTTGCTTCCTCTCTGCATCCTGTGGCTCTCAGGCTGAGGACTTACTCTTTTGTTATGTATTCTCACCTACTCCCTAGGCTGTGCCCAGCCCAGGTGCCCCAATAGGAGGGGCTACCAAGTGCCCTAGAGGCCTGTGCACCCAGGTCAGGTAGGACTCAGCTTTGCTGCTCAGTGGTTGGGCAAGGCCAGCAGTACTTCCCCTGACCCTCAGGCTCCTGGGCCCAATGATGCTAGAGTGCCAGCCTCAGGGATGATGGTCCCTTGGGCAGGGATGCCAGGTGAGCCCAACAGGCACTGATGTCAGATGTCTTTTCCATTTACTACTGTTTGTCCTTGGGCAAGTTACTCAGTCTCTGTAAAATGGAGTCCATGAGCCCAGATTTCTAGGGCTGGTGAAAGGCATGGTTGAGAAATCCATCTCTTAAACATTGGCTGCTGGCCTGCATAACCAGAGGAGCCAAACTAAGGCTTCCAGGGCGCGTGGGGCTAAGGCCCAAGGGATGGGTAACCCTTGAACAGGGCATGACCAGATGGGGTGGGAGGAAACCTAGCTCCTGCCTCCCCCATGGTACCTCACAGAGGGCAGGAAGTTGGGGGGGCTCGGCCACACCACATAACACCCCTCTCTGTTCTCATGAGCCATCTGGGCATGGTGAGGGGAACCCCTGGACAGGCTGGCTGTCCAACACTGGTGTGGCCTTTGTTCTGAGTGAGAGCAGGCCTTGTCCACTTTGCTCTGAGATCCTGCCCAGGTGCCCCAGATCTTAAAGCCCCAAAGCTGTATTCCAGCTCCATTGGTCAGCTGTGGCCCATTCTGTATTCCTTTCTGGTTAAGAGAGATTTTTTTAGTCAGCTTTTTTTACTGCTGTGACCAAAAGACCTGACAATTTTAGGAGGAAAACTTATTGAGATCTCAGTCCATAAAGTGTCAGAAAAGTGTGGTAGAGGAAAGTGGCCAGGATGTGGTCACCATGAAGCAGAGAATGAGAGCTCCCCTCACCACAGACAAAATGTATATCCCAAAGGCACACCCCCAGTGATCCACCTCCTCCAGTCACACCCTACCTGCCTCCAATTAATACCCAGTTAATCCTTATCAGACTGATTAGTTTAAGGCTCTCACAACCCAATCAGTTCACCTCTAATCTTTCTTGCATTGTCTTACACATGAGCTTTTGGAGGGACACCTCATAGCTAAAACCATAACAGATACTTAAAATATATAAACAGATGAATGTAATGCCAGCTGGGATTTACTATATAATCACTCCAGCATAAATAAATAAGAAAAATATGGAGGGGCAGGGATATTAGGCAAGACTAGCAAGATGTCGATAGACTTAACACTGGGTGATAGGCACGAGGGATTCATTATTACATTCCATCTATTTCTGAGTTATTTTGAATTTTTTCCATTAAGAAACTTTGCTTAAATAGAAGAAAAATGTGTTGGCTTAGCAACAGAAGAGCGTACAGATGTTCAGTGAAAGGTGTGAACAAGAATGTTTACAAGAGCATGTTATAACAGCTGCCATCTCCGTCAATGGAAGGATAAAGAAATGGTGGATGTTCACATGTAGCAGAACAAATTCATGGATGAATCTCACAGACACAGTACGGCAGTAAAGAAGCCAGACATGAAACTACACACTGTCTGCTTCCGTTCAGTATAGGAATAGGCAAAATTATTTCTACTATTAGAAATCAGAACAGAACAGTGCTTGGGACATAAAGAGCAAAAAGGCAGCCACCTGACCTTCCTAAGATCCCATGAGTTATCTAAAATGATCTAGAAAATTTCTTTTCTACTTAAACAACAACTTTCATATAGAACTAATATTTCTATTTGTCCTGCTTTCTATTGTTTTTCTCCTTTTTGAATAATTATTGTTTTCCCCTCTAGTGCTGGAGCTGGAACCCAGAACCTTGTTCGCATGCTAGGCAAGCACTTTGCTCCTGAACTACATCCCAGCTCTGTTTTTTTTTAAATGATCGAGTTTTTTTTTTAAATATATATAATATTATATATATACATATATAATATAAAAATATATATTTTAGTTGTAGGTGGACATAATATCTTTATTTTTATTTATTTATTTTTTTATGTGGTGCTGAGGATTGAACCCAGAGCCTCACACATGCTCGGCGAGTGCTCTACCACTGAGCCACAACCCCGGCCTGTTTTTGATGTTTCTTTTTACTTTCTTGGAAGTTCTACACCTGTGTCTATTCTTTGAAGCTTTCCCTTAACATTTTAACATGTGCATAAACAAAGCATAAACTTAATTCTGTTTCCCTTTAAGCCATAGGGAAGGCTTTGGATCCCTTTAATTATAGTTGCCCCTTCTGGTTTTAGATAATTTTATTATCCAGTATTTTTTGTTGGCTTTTAAAAAATATATTTATTTAGTTATCTATTTGTTACCAGGAGTGTTTAACCACTGAGCCATATTCCCAGCCCTTTTTATTTATTTATGTATTTGAATCAGGGTCTCACTAAGTTCTTAAGGCCTTACTAAGTTGAGGCTGGTTTTGAACTTGTGATCCTCCTGCCTAAGCTCCCAAGCTGCTGGGATTACAGGCTTGTGCCACTGCACTAAGAACTATCCCCAAGTCAGCCATCACTGCCATCATCATCAATTCATGTTTTTATTAAGAAGCCTCTCTTCTCCTAACTGAGGCACACACCCGTCATCCTAGCAACTCATGAGGCTGAGGCAGAATGACCATAAATTGGAGGCCAGCCTGGGCAACTTGGTGAAACCCTGTCTTAAAAGGGCTGGGGATGTAACAGTGGTGAAGTGCCCCTGGTTCAATCCCTAGGACAAAACAAAACAAAACAAATAAAAACAGCAGTAGCAGTCTCTCTAGCCACTTTCCTTCTCTGAGTTCATCTTTTATCAAAGTCCCACTGTTGCTCAATCTGAGTGTCCTTTCTTGTGCTGGGTGGCCATCCCAATCATGGGGCTGTGATGAGTTTCAAAGCTGCTTCATCACCCAAACTTCTCTGAGGTCCAAATATTCCCAAGACAGAGTTGGCCTCAATTAAGGCCTCTACTCCAGCCAGCTGGGCTCAGTCCTTCCTGCAACCCCCATGTTCTCTTCCCTGAACTCTGGGCACACCTCATGCTGTCCACTCCTGCAGTTTCTCAGAGTCCCTCAGACTGCCATTCCAGGCCTGGAGGCCTCTAGCCCTACCTTTCTAGTTTCCTTCCTCCCTGACACAATGCCTGCTTTTTCTCAGACCCTGGAACTTTTCCTCCGGGTTGGGTGGAGGGCACAGAGAGAAACAAAATAGCCCTTCTGTGCCAATATGTGCTCTGCCTTGGGAAGGTTTTAAGGAAGGGTCCCCCAAATCATTGATTTGTCAGCTCTGGCCACAATAAGAGGGGGAACAAGAAAGCTGAGGGCAGATGGTCAGCACTTCCTGCCGAAGCCCTCTCAGCAAGGCAGGTGTGGGTAGAGACGGCAAATAGACCTTGATGGCCAATGCCAGCCTATGGCAGACA